TTTACCTCAAGATTTTGGAGGGCTCTGTGTAAAGCCCTGGACATCCAACTGTCCCTCTCTTCTGCATTCCACCTTCAGTCCAACGGACAGACCGAAAGAACCAACCAGACTCTGGAGCAATACCTGCGCTGCTATACATCTTTTGCCCAGGATGACTGGATACCACTTCTACCCTTGGTGGAATTCGCGTACAACAACGCGTGCCATTCGGCAACGGGGCAGTCCCCGTTCTTTTCCAATTATGGGTTTCACCCTATCTTCCTCCCGGACTTGGTCCCTGAATGCCCAGTTCCAGCAACGCAGGATACATTGACATTCTTCTCCTCGAACAACAAGAAGCTACAGGAAGCCATCATTCGGGCCCAAGAAGACTACAAGAAGGCATTTAACAAGAAACGAAGGGGAGATCTGGTGTTGCGGCCCGGAGAGAAGGTTTGGTTGTCTACATCCAACTTAAAGATGCTTTGCCCCTCAAAGAAATTGGGACCTAAATTTATAGGACCCTTTTGCGTTAAGCCGATGGTCAACGAGGTGGCTTACGAACTTGTCCTCCCTGACACACTCAAAATCCACCCAGTCTTCCATGTGTCCCTGCTGAAGCCAGTGATCCCAGATGCCTTCCCTGACCGAGAATCTAGACCTCCGGAGGCCATAACGGTCGAAGGAGAAGAAGAATTTGAGGTAGAAACAATCCTGAAGTGCCGAAGGAGGGGGGGCCAGACCCAATTCCTAATCAAATGGAAGGGCTACGGCCCTGAGGACAATTCTTGGGAACCAGCCCATAATGTCCATGCACCCAGACTTGTCCAGAGGTTTTTTCGCGATCACCCGGTGGAGAGATCGGGTGGGCATCCGGAGGTTGCCCGTAGGGGAGGGCAATGTCAGGGATCTCCTCGATCCCTGCCGCGATGGTCCCGGCGCAGGCGCAGTGCGCCGCCCTGTTCAGGGGACTCGGGCACTAGGTCCGGGCCGGCCGCGGCGTTCGAGTTTGCGCATGCGCAGTAGAAGCCGCGGCCACCCGCTGGGCACCAATGGCAGCGCAGGGCGGGATATTTAAATGGCCCTGAGCTGTCATTCAGTGCCTTCTGGTCTTCCCTGTATCCTGTATCCTGCGAACCTGTGAATTGTAAGTTGCTGACCCGGATTGTGCTCTGACCTTGCTGTATTCTCCTGCCCTGACCCTTGCTTTGCCTGACCTCTCTCTTGAATGCCCCCTATTGGATCTGACCTGCTGTTACTGACCTGGCGTGTGACCCGACTATTCTCTGCCCGCTGCCTTGTACCGTACCGTCCTCCCTGTTACCGACCCCGCTTGTCTGACTTTGCACCTGCTCAGCCATCCATCCATCCATCCTCCCAGTGGGGTCTTCTGACCTCCTCATATCAGGATCTTCCCCGTGGGAGCCCTCGGCGTATAACACTACCACTGATGGGTTTACCCAGTAGCCACGACCTGGTCTCGGGGAGCTCCAAGTCCATCCCCACCATCAGGGGCCCTGGTGAAACAAGCACCCCTGGGACTTAGACTCCGTGCTCTGGGAACACCTATTTAGTGGAGTGCTAGTGGTACCGCCGGGTGGTCCCTTACAAAAAGAGAATCAATATTATGTGTATATATAGCAGTGGGGGAGGGGGGAGAGCAGAAGTCAGGAGTATGTAATGTACAACATAGAGTATATAGCAGGGGGTCAGGGATTTGTAATTTACAACAAAGTATATAGTGCAGGGGTCAGGAGTATGTAATGTACAACATAGAGTATATAGTGCAGGGGTCAGGAGTATGTAATGTACAACATGTAAAGAGTATATAGTGCAGGGGTCAGGAGTATGTAATGTACAACATAGAGTATATAGTGCAGGGGTCAGGAGTATGTAATGTACAACACATAGAGTATATAGTGCAGGGGTCAGGAGTATGTAATGTACAACATAGAGTATATAGTGCAGGGGTCAGGAGTATGTAATGTACAACATAGAGTATATAGTGCAGGGGTCAGGAGTATGTAATGTACAACACATAGAGTATATAGTGCAGGGGTCAGGAGTATGTAATGTACAACATAGAGTATATAGTGCAGGGGTCAGGATATGTAATGTACAACATAGAGTATATAGTGCAGGGGTCAGGAGTATGTAATGTACAACATAGAGTATAAACAGGGGTCAGGAGTATGTATGTAATGTACAACATAGAGTATATAGTGCAGGGGTCAGGAGTATGTAATGTACAACATAGAGTATATAGTGCAGGGGTCAGGAGTATGTAATGTACAAACATAGAGTATATAGTGCAGGGGTCAGGAGTATGTAATGTACAACATAGAGTATATATAGTGCAGGGGTCAGGAGTATGTAATGTACAACATAGAGTATATAGTGCAGGGGTCAGGAGTATGTAATGTACAACATGTAATGTACAAGTATATATGTAATGTACAACATAAAGAGTATATAGTGCAGGGGTCAGGAGTAGTATGTAATGTACAACATAGAGTATATAGTGCAGGGGTCAGGAGTATGTAATGTACAACATAGAGTATATAGTGCAGGGTCAGGAGTATGTAATGTACAACATAGAGTATATAGTGCAGGGGTCAGGAGTATGTAATGTACAAATAGAGTATATAGTGCAGGGGTCAGGAGTATGTAATGTACAACATAGAGTATATATAGTGCAGGGGGGTCAGGAGTATGTAATGTACAACAACAGAGTATATAGTGCAGGGGTCAGGAGTATGTAATGTACAACATAGAGTATATAGTGCAGGGGTCAGGAGTATGTAATGTACAACATAGAGTATATAGTGCAGGGGTCAGGAGTATGTAATGTACAACATAGTATATAGTGCAGGGGTCAGGAGTATGTAATGTACAACATAGAGTATATAGTGCAGGGGTCAGGAGTATGTAATGTACAACATAGAGTATATAGTGCAGGGGTCAGGAGTATGTAATGTACAACATAGAGTATATAGTGCAGGGGTCAGGAGTATGTAATGTACAACATAGAGTATATAGTGCAGGGGTCAGGAGTATGTAATGTACAACATAGAGTATATAGTGCAGGGGTCAGGAGTATGTAATGTACAACATAGAGTATATAGTGCAGGGGTCAGGAGTATGTAATGTACAACATAGAGTATATAGTGCAGGGGTCAGGAGTATGTAATGTACAACATAGAGTATATAGTGCAGGGGTCAGGAGTATGTAATGTACAACATAGAGTATATAGTGCAGGGGGTCAGGAGTATGTAATGTACAACATAGAGTATATAGTGTGCAGGGGTCAGGAGTATGTAATGTACAACATAGAGTATATAGTGCAGGGGTCAGGAGTATGTAATGTACAACATAGAGTATATAGTGCAGGGGTCAGGAGTAATGTAATGTACAACATAGAGTATATAGTGCAGGGTCAGGAGTATGTAATGTACAACATAGAGTATATAGTGCAGGGGTCAGGAGTATGTAATGTACAACATAGAGTATATAGTGCAGGGGTCAGGAGTATGTAATGTACAACATAGAGTATATAGTGCAGGGGTCAGGAGTATGTAATGTACAACATAGAGTATATAGTGCAGGGGTCAGGAGTATGTAATGTACAACATAGAGTATATAGTGCAGGGGTCAGGAGTATGTAATGTACAACATAGAGTAGATATAGTGCAGGGGTCAGGAGTATGTAATGTACAACATAGTATATAGTGCAGGGGTCAGGAGTATGTAATGTACAACATAGAGTATATAGTGCAGGGGTCAGGAGTATGTAATGTACAACATAGAGTATATAGTGCAGGGGTCAGGAGTATGTAATGTAACATAGGAGTATATAGTGCAGGGGTCAGGAGTATGTAATGTACAACATAGAGTATATAGTGCAGGGGTCAGGAGTATGTAATGTACAAACATAGAGTATATAGTGCAGGGGTCAGGTAGTATGTAATGTACAACATAGAGTATATAGTGCAGGGGTCAGGAGTATGTAATGTACAACATAGAGTATATAGTGCAGGGGTCAGGAGTATGTAATGTACAACATAGAGTATATAGTGCAGGGGTCAGGAGTATGTAATGTACAAGTTATATAGTATAAGGGTCAGGACTCACAGTATTAGTATTCTGTAATCAGTGGAAGCTTAAATGTTTACTGTAGAAAACATCTAGAGGTGAGATGGGATTAAACCATCATGAAACAGGTTAGATTGGAGGTGAGCAAATCCTTGGACAGAGGGGGTGGAGGTGGACGTGGTATACTTGGAGAGAGGGGTGGACGTGGTATACTTGAACAGAGGGGTTGGCGGTGGACGTGGTATACTTGGACAGGGGGGTGGCTGTGGACGTGGTATACTTGGACAGAGGGGTGGCGGTGGGACGTGGTATACTTGGACAGAGGGGTGGCGGGGACGTGGTATACTTGGACAGAGGGGTGGCGGTGGACGTGGTATACTGGGACAGAGGGGTGGCTTTGGACGTGGTATACTTGGACAGAGGGGTGGCGGTGGACGTGGTATACTTGGACAGAGGGGTGGCGTGGGACGTGGTATACTTGGACAGAGGGGGTGGCGGTGGACGTGGTATACTTGGACAGAGGGGTGGCGGTGGACGTGGTATACTTGGGACAGAGGGGTGGCGGTGGACGTGGTATACTCGGGACAGAGGGGTGGCGGTGGACGTGGTATACTTGGACAGAGGGGTGGCGGTGGACGTGGTATACTCGGACAGAGGGGTGGCGGTGGACGTGGTATACTCGGACAGAGGGGTGGCGGTGGACGTGGTATACTCGGACAGAGGGGTGCGGCGGTGGACGTGGTGGCATACTCGGACAGAGGGGTGGCGGTGGACGTGGTATACTCGGACAGAGGGGTGGCGGTGGACGTGGTATACTTGGACAGAGGGGTGGCGGTGGACGTGGTATACTTGGACAGAGGGGGCGGTGGACGTGGTATACTTGGACAGAGGGGTGGCGGTGGACGTGGTATACTTGGACAGAGGGGTGGCGGTGGACGTGGTATACTTGGACAGAGGGGTGGCGGTGGACGTGGTATACTTGGACAGAGGGGTGGCGGTGGACGTGGTACTTGGACAGAGGGGTGGCGGTGGACGTGGTATACTTGGACAGAGGGGTGGGCGTGGACGTGGTATACTTGGACAGAGGGGTGGCGGTGGACGTGGTACTTGGACAGAGGGGTGGCGGGTGGGTATACTTGGACAGAGGGGTGGCGGTGGACGTGGTATACTTGGACAGAGGGGTGGCGGTGGACGTGGTATACACTTGGACAGAGGGGTGGCGGTGGACGGGTATACTTGGACAGAGGGGGTGGGTGGTGGACGTGGTATACTTGGACAGAGGGGTGGCGGTGGACGTGGTATACTTGGACAGAGGGGTGGCGGTGGACGTGGTATACTTGGACAGAGGGGTGGACGGGTTCAGGACGTGGGTATACTTGGACAGGGGGCGGTGGACGTGGTATACTTGGACAGAGGGGGGCGGTGGACGTGGTATACTTGGACACAGTTCCCCACACACGGCTAATGTGTAAGGTAAATCTACAGGGCTGGAAAAATCTGAATGCAATTGGATTGAATACTGGCTAAAATATAGTATTCAGAGAGTAGTGGTTAATGATTCATACTCTGAATGGTCAGGGGGTGTCAGTTGGGTACCCCAAGGTTCAGTATTAGTGGGGTACCCCAAGTTTCAGTGCCATCAGTGGGGTACCCCAAGGTTCATTGTTAGTGGGGTACCCCAAGATTCAGTGTCTTCCGTGGTGTACCCTAAGGTTCAGTGTTATTAGTGGGGTACCCCAAGGTTCATTGTTAGTGGGGTACCCCAAGATTCAGTGTCTTCCGTGGGGTACCTTAAGGTTCAGTGTGATTAGTGGAGTACCCCAAGGTTGTGTGATTATTGGGGTACCCCAAGGTTCAGTATCATCAGTGGTGTACCCCAAGGTTCAGTGACATCAGTGGTGTACCCCAAAGGTTCAGTATTAGTAGGGTACCCCAAGGTTCAGTGTTACTAGTGGCTGAAAAGAGAGGAAAGGGGGGAGGATGAGGGAAAATATATTTCAGGATGGTTAGTCCCTTCGCCAACATGGAGGTTGAAACCAAAATGGTTGAACCGCATCCATCTCTGATGCGCACTTTTGCAACAATCCCCACTTCAGTCGATCCTGATTACGGCAGCCAGACTCATCCACCTTACCAACCGCTTAGTTTCCACCACCCCCCCCTCTGCCAATCCCTCCACTGGCTTCCGATTGCCCAACGGATCAAATTCAAACTGCTAACACTGACGTACAAAGCTGTCCACCATACTGCCCCGAACTACATCACCGACCTAATATCCAAGTACCACCCAACACACACACTCCGCTCCTCACAAGACCTCCTCTCTAGTTCCCAGATCTCCTCCTCCCATGCCTGCCTCCAGGACGTCACCCATCCTCTGTAACTCCCTACCCCAATCCATCAGACTATCACCCACTCTCCTCTCCTTTAGGCGCACACCCTGAAAACCCACCTCTTTGGGGAGCCTATCCCCACCCTCTGCTAACTGCCGATCTCCTCCACTCTTCCTACCACTCCAACCCCCACAGCTTTTCCTCCCGTACCACTATCCCCTCCCTCCTAGATTGTAAGCTCCAAGGAGCAGGGCCCTCGAACCCCTCGTGTTTTGCATTGTATTGGTATTGTTCTGTCACATGTTCTGTCCCCCTTTGTAATGTACAGCGCTGAGCGAACTATTGGCGCTTTATAAAATACTGTATAATAATAAATGGGGGATATGATCTCCATGTATAATACATAAGGGGGGATATGATCTCCATGTATAATACATAAGGGGGGATATGATCTCCATGTATAATACATAAGGGGGGATATGATCTCCATGTATAATACATAAGGGGGGATATGATCTCCATGTATAATACATAAGGGGGGATATGATCTCCATGTATAATACATAAGGGGGATATGATCTCCATGTATAATACATAAGGGGGGATATGATCTCCATGTATAATACATAAGGGGGGATATGATCTCCATGTATAATACATAAGGGGGGGATATGATCTCCATGTATAATACATAAGGGGGGGATATGATCTCCATGTATAATACATAAGGGGGGGATATGATCTCCATGTATAATACATAAGGGGGGATATGATCTCCATGTATAATACATAAGGGGGGATATGATCTCCATGTATAATACATAAGGGGGGATATGATCTCCATGTATAATACATAAGGGGGGATATGATCTCCATGTATAATACATAAGGGGGGGATATGATCTCCATGTATAATACATAAGGGGGGATATGATCTCCATGTATAATACATAAGGGGGGATATGATCTCCATGTATAATACATAAGGGGGGGGATATGATCTCCATGTATAATACATAAGGGGGGGATATGATCTCCATGTATAATACATAAGGGGGATATGATCTCCATGTATAATACATAAGGGGGGATATGATCTCCATGTATAATACATAAGGGGGGATATGATCTCCATGTATAATACATAAGGGGGATATGATCTCCATGTATAATACATAAGGGGGGATATGATCTCCATGTATAATACATAAGGGGGGGATATGATCTCCATGTATAATACATAAGGGGGGATATGATCTCCATGTATAATACATAAGGGGGGATATGATCTCCATGTATAATACATAAGGGGGGATATGATCTCCATGTATAATACATAAGGGGGGGATATGATCTCCATGTATAATACATAAGGGGGGGGATATGATCTCCATGTATAATACATAAGGGGGGATATGATCTCCATGTATAATACATAAGGGGGATATGATCTCCATGTATAATACATAAGGGGGGATATGATCTCCATGTATAATACATAAGGGGGGATCTCCATACATGATCTCCATGTATAATACATAAGGGGGGATATGATCTCCCATGTATAATACATAAGGGGGGGATATGATCTCCATGTATAATACATAAGGGGGGATATGATCTCCATGTATATAATACATAAGGGGGGGATATGATCTCCATGTATAATACATAAGGGGGGATATGATCTCCATGTATAAATACATAAGGGGGATATGATCTCCATGTATAATACATAAGGGGGATATGATCTCCATGTATAATACATAAGGGGGATATGATCTCCATGTATAATACATAAGGGGGGATATGATCTCCATGTATAATACATAAGGGGGGATATGATCTCCATGTATAATACATAAGGGGGGATATGATCTCCATGTATAATACATAAGGGGGGGGATATGATCTCCATGTATAATACATAAGGGGGGATATGATCTCCATGTATAATACATAAGGGGGATATGATCTCCATGTATAATACATAAGGGGGGATATGATCTCCATGTATAATACATAAGGGGGGATATGATCTCCATGTATAATACATAAGGGGGGATATGATCTCCATGTCATAAGGGGGGATATGATCTCCATGTATAATACATAAGGGGGGATATGATCTCCATGTATAATACATAAGGGGGGGATATGATCTCCATGTATAATACATAAGGGGGGGGATATGATCTCCATGTATAATACATAAGGGGGGATATGATCTCCATGTATAATACATAAGGGGGGGATATGATCTCCATGTATAATAATACATAAGGGGGGATATGATCTCCATGTATAATACATAAGGGGGGATATGATCTCCATGTATAATACATAAGGGGGATATGATCTCCATGTATAATACATAAGGGGGGATATGATCTCCATGTATAATACATAAGGGGGGGATATGATCTCCATGTATAATACATAAGGGGGGATATGATCTCCATGTATAATACATAAGGGGGGATATGATCTCCATGTATAATACATAAGGGGGGATATGATCTCCATGTATAATACATAAGGGGGATATTGCCATGTATAAACATAAGGGGGGATTCTTTCCATGTATAATACATAAGGGGGGATATGATCTCCATATAACATTTATAAGGGGGGGAAAGTATGATCCCATGTATATCCATAAGGGGGGATATGATCTCCATGTATAATACATAAGGAGGGATATGATCGTGCTTTGCTGGGTTTTTGCCTAAGGGTGGATCATGATCTCCATGTGGGTGTCGGATTATAACTTTTATTATTAATGTACAACATATGGGGGTCTTTTTTCAGCCAGTACTAACATATGTAACTATGTAGGTCCCACACCGCTGCCTATAATACTCCTGAGACTGCACTCAGTGACTTGGGGCTGAGACACTACAGACATATCCCTCCACCCGGCACAGCCAGCAGATAACAGAGAAGGATCCCCTGGAGGAGTCCGGCACAAGGCAGGAGACCCCAGTCACATGTCCTGGGTGCCTACATTATGCAATGCTTAGAGTAACAATCAACATTTTGCTGCCGGCTGAACCCCAGAACCTCCATAAATCCAGTCTAGAGACATACAGTGGGGATGGAAAGTTTGGGCATCCCAGTATAAACATAAGGTATATGATGTGCATAAAGAAGCCATAAAGATGGGAAAAATCTCCAAAAGGCATAAATTACAGATTAGACATTCTTATAATATGTCAACAAAAGTTAGATTTTATTTCCATCATTTACACTTTCAAAATAACAGAAAACAAAAAAATAAGGGTCTGCAAAAGTTTGGGCCCCCTGCAGAGTAATAATATCTTGTACTGCCCCCTTTGGCAAGTATCACAGCTTGTAAATCGCTTTTTAATAGCCAGCCAAGAGTCTTTCAGTTCTTGTTTGAGGTATCTTTGCCCATTCTTCCTTACAAAAGTCTTCCAGTTCTTTGAGATTTCTGGGCTGTCTGATCGCACGGCTCTTTTAAGGTCTATCCATAGATTTTCAATGATGTTGAGGTCAGGAGATTGTGAATGCCATGGCAAAACCTTCAGTTTACGCCTCTTGATGTAATCCCCCCGTGGATTTCCAGGTGTGTTTAGGATCATTATCCATTTGTAGAAGCCATCCTCTCTTTAACTTCAGCTTTTTCACAGATGGCATCAAGTTACCATCCAAAATTTGCTGAAATTTGATTGAATCCATTTTTTCATCTACTCGGGAGATGTTCCCTGTGCCACTGGCTGCAACACAACCCCAAAGCATGATTGATCCAACCCCATGCTTCACAGTTGGACAGAGGTTCTTTTCATTCAATTCTGTGCCCCTTCTTCTCCAAACGTACCTTTGCTCATTCCGGCCAAAAAGTTCAATTTTAACCTCATCGGTCCACAGAACTCCATGTTTCCAAAATGCATCAGGCTTGTCTATATGTTCATTTGCAAATTCACATAACGATGATTTTTCCATGTGGTGAGGACGTAGAAGAGGTTTTCTTCTGATGACTCTTCCATGAAGCCCATATTTGTACAAGTATCTCTTTATAGTGGAATAGTGGACCCACAACTCCAGTGTCTGCCAGATCTTTCTGGAGGGATCGTGCAGTCAAACGTGGGTTTTGAATTGTTTTTCTGTACAATCCATGCGAGCTGTTCTGTCTGATATTTTTCTTGGTCTTCCAGATGTTGCTTTAACTTCCACTGTTCCTGATGACTGCCATTTCTTAATGACATTCCGAACAGAGGATATTGACATCTGAAAACGCTTTGCTATCTTCTTATAGCCTTCTCCATTTGTGAGCATCAACTATTTTCAGTTTCAGTTTTCTAGACAACTGCTTAGAAGAAGCCATGGTGCTGATTGTTGGGGCAAGGTCAGATGAGTCGGGGCATTTAAAACCTTTGAGATTGACATCACCTGGTCTTCCCAGACGATGATTGAGAACAATCCATGACACTGGCAGGTCTCAGCTTGGCAAAGGGGGCAGTGCATGCTATAAATTCTGCAGGGGGCCCAAACTTTTGCAGACGCCATTTTTTTTTGTTTTCTGTTAAAATCCAGGAATACAGGACGGGGACACAGCTCAGGGAAGTGACCCGGGATTACAGGCTGAACACAGAACAAATGGCGGCTGACTGGTGCATTACCGCCTACAAAGTGCTTCATTCCATCCCATGCGGAGTCATGTGACCTACAAACCTTCAATGCCATGTTGTATGTATTACCTCCGAGGGATGAAATCATGGAAAAATGATGAATGCAGGGAAACGGGATATGACGTCATCACGCTGGGCGTCTTCATAGGGTGCGGTATCCACGAGGAGGGAAGAGGCATGAGATGCAGCTCCATCTTGGATGAGCACGAGGCAATCTAGAATATGACGAGGCAACCGTTCTAAGGAGTCTTTTGGGTGATTTCAGAGACACGGCTCACTTCCTCCGGTGGCCAGTAACAGTCTGATTGGCTGAGTGACTTTAGATGGGAATCGGGAACGTTGGTTGTTCTGCCTGCAGCCCGAGTGTGAGGGAAATGTTTGGGCTCTAGGTGGTATATAGTATATACTATGTTGTATACGGTCAGTGATACGGGACGCAGGTCTCATACACCCCTAGAGGAAGCGCACTGAGCCTCTAATAAGCCCCTCATGTGTGGGGGATGGGCGTCACCCTAGACTCTGACCCCTCCTTCCGGCCCCCACATCCAATCACCGGCTAAATCCTGCCGCCTCAACCCCCTAGGAACATCGCCAAACTCCGCCCCTTCCTGACCAATGACACCACAAACTCATCCATGCCTTGTTATATCCCGCCTCCATTACTGCAACTCCCTCCTCACTGGTCTACCGTCACACAGGCTGTCAGGAATGGACTTGCCACACAGGTGGGATTCACCCCCTTCAGTATCCATTGTATGATGGATGATGCTCCCAGCTCAGACTCAACCCTGAGAGCCAACATGGCTGAGTGATCATGCAGTCCCTTCTGCCAATGGCCCACCTGACATTCACCCTTTTCCAGGATTTTCATCCCTCGGACTGTTACCCATTGGACTGGTGTCCTTCTGACTGGAACAAATCCCTCCTTCACTAGGATGCAGTATATGGGATGTTCCTGCTGATCCAGGGCCCTCCATGCTCTGTCTTCCCTCCACTTTGATTCCCCCTGGCTTGTGACCCTGACCACTCTCTGCCTGATCCCTGTACCACCTGACCCGTTACTTGCTGTACCCCCGCTCTGACCATGAATCTGCTCCTCCTGTTCCTACCTGCCCGATTGTTAGTGACCCGGCCTCCTGACAATCCCTCTGCATTGTATGTACTGTTATCTGTGGGGGTTGGTTTGGTTTGTTCACTGTGTGCATTATGTTTTAGTATTGCACCTGCGGCGGGGACTGATGTGTTGAATTGACCTTGAGTATTAATCCCTCCACTGACCTCCTGAAGCCTCTCTGCCCTGCGTCATGTGTCCTCCACTGGATTAGGGCCCTTCATTGTCCTCCACCCTCCTCTGCCACTGCCTGCTAGACTGTGACCTTAGGGACCTTAGATCAGTGACCTCCACCCCTCTCTGCCAATCCCTCCACTGACCTCCACCCCTCTCTGCCAATCCCTCCACTGACCTCCACCCCTCTCTGCCAATCCCTCCACTGACCTCCACCCCTCTCTGCCAATCCCTCCACTGGCCTCCACCCCTCTGCCAATCCCTCCACTGACCTCCACCCCTCTCTGCCAATCCCTCCACTGACCTCCACCCCTCTCTTAATCCCTCCACTGACCTCCATTCGGGGACTGACCCCCCCTCTCTGCCAATCCCTCCACTGACCTCCACTCCTCTCTGCCAATCCCCCACTCCACCCCCCCTCTTTCCCTCCACTCCCCTCTATGATTACAGCACGTCCACCATGTGAATGACAACCTTTCTATGACCCGTGTGATCTAATACATACAACATGGCATTGGACGTTTGTAGGTCACATGACTCCGCATGGGATGGAAGGAACCACTTTGTAGGCGGTAATGCGCCAGTCAGCCGCCATTTTTTCTGAGTTCCAGTATTTCAGGTTTACAATCCACGCTTTTATTGAAGTGAGTCGCAGATATAATCCAGATACGTTTACCGGATCAATCGGGACGGCATTGTTTCTTCTGATGTATTACAGGCTGATATCACCCCGCCCCCCGCCCTACTCTGGACCAATCAGTGAGCAGTATGGGTGGAGGAATGGATTTGGTGTTCATGACCCACCTGTGCTGATCTCTGTAGGAGTGTCCTCCTCTATAAATGTCCCCGTTATTCCATCCTCCTCCATAGACTGCTGATCATCCCTCACATACGCCTCTTCTTCTTCTGCTTTCACCTCAAATTCTATATCGATTGGATCTCCACTCTACATCAAGAGAAGGAGAGGAAATATCATCTGGAAGATAGAAGGTCACAGAAACTCCACACATTGTCTGTATGAATCCATGTTCTAGATGCTCCATCCCACCAACCTTGCAATGGTGAGGGATGGTGTGACCTTCCTGTGTGGAATCCCGGGAATACAGAGGACGGGGACATCTCTCTGGTGGGTTCCTGGTATTAGGTGGCTCCATCATCTCCTTGTGTCCTTCTGAAAACTCCTCCATCACTCCATCCATCTCCTCATCCTCCTCTTTATACTCTTCTTTACCCATCAATATTCTCATCCCCGAGGATTCCACTCTGAGAGATATAATAAAACATTCATTGTAACAAACATGCCGAGTATAAATCCCACCTACCAATAATTGTCATCATCTACCCCATTATCATCTCCACGTGTGGACTACTGCAACTGCCTCCTCACCGGCCGACCTCATCACCGGCCTCCCGCACACGCCGACTCCTCACCGGCCTCCCCCACCGGCCATCCCTCCTCACCGGCCATCCCTCCTCACCGGCCATCCCGCACCACCGGCCATCCCGCACCACCGGCCATCCCTCCTCACCGGCCATCCCTCCCACCGGCCATCCCCTCCTCACCGGCCATCCCGCACCACCGGCCATCCCCCCACCAGCCATCCCTCCTCACCGGCCATCCCCCCCGCTCAGTCTATCCTGAACTCAGCGGCCACTCATCCACCTCTCCAACCTCCGCTTCTGCCACCACCCCCCTGTCATTCCCTCCACTGGCCCCACTCAGTGTCCCACCCCCCTCCCTCCTCATTCCCTCCACTCAGTGTCCTCCACCCCCCTCTGCCAATCCCTCCACTGGCCTCCACCCCCCAACTCTGTCATTCCCTCCACTGGCCTCCACCCCCCCCCTCTGTCATTCCCTCCACTGGCCTCCACCCCCCTCTGTCATTCCCTCCACTGGCCTCCCCCCCTCTGTCATTCCCTCACTGGCCTCCATTCAGTGTCCTCCACCCCCTCTGTCATTCCCTCCACTGGCCTCCACTCAGTGTCCTCCACCCCCCTCTGTCATTCCCTCCACTGGCCTCCACTCAGTGTCCTCCACCCCCCTCTGTCATTCCCTCACTGGCCTCCATTCAGTGTCCTCCACCCCCCTCTGTCATTCCCTCACTGGCCTCCATTCAGTGTCCTCCACCCCCCTCTGTCATTCCCTTCACTGGCCTCCATTCAGTGTCCTCCACCCCCCTCTGTCATTCCCTTCCACTGGCCTCCATTCAGTGTCCTCCACCCCCCTCTGTCATTCCCTTCACTGGCCTCCATTCAGTGTCCTCCACCCCCCTCTGTCATTCCCTTCACTGGCCTCCATTCAGTGTCCTCCACCCCCCTCTGTCATTCCCTCCACTGGCCTCCATTCAGTGTCCTCCCTCCACCCCCCTCTGTCATTCCCTCCACTGGCCTCCATTCAGTGTCCTCCACCCCCCTCTGTCATCCCTCCACTGGCCTCCATTCAGTGTCCTCCACCCCCCTCTGCCAATCCCTCCACTGGCCTCCATTCAGTGTCCTCCACCCCCCTCTGCCAATCCCCCACTGGCCTCCATTCACTGTCCTCCACCCCCCTCTGTCATTCCCTCCACTGGCCTCCACTCAGTGTCCTCCACCCCCCTCTGCCAATCCCTCCACTGGCCTCCACTCAGTGTCCTCCACCCCCCCTCTGACATACAAAGCCATTCATAACTCCGCCCCAAACTACCTCACCCGACCTGATACCCAAATACCACCCAACCCGTAATCTTCGCTCCTCACAAGACCTCCTACTTTCTAGCTCCCTGGTCTCCTCCTCCCACGCCCGACTGCAGGACTTCTCCAGGACTTCCCCCATCCTCTGGAACTCCCTACCCCAATCCATCAGACTGTCCCCTACCCTCCTCACATTCAGGCTCACCCTGAAAACCCATCTCTCCAGGGAAGCCTACCCCACCCTCACCTAACAGCTGATCACCTCCACTCCTCCTACCCACTCCATCCCCCACAGCCACTTCCTCCTGTACCACTACCCCCTCCCTCCTAGATTGTAAGCTCCCAGGATCAGGGCCCTCGCACCCCTCGTGTATTGTATTGTTACTGTATTGTCTCATGTTCTGTCCCCACTATAATGTACAGCGCTGAGCAAACCTTCTGCCTGCCGCTATATAAATCCTGTATAATAATAATAATCTACCTGATGATGGTGAGGGATGGTGTGACCTTCCTGTGTGGAATCCCGGGAATACAGAGGACGGGGACATCTCTCTGGTGGGTTCCTGTAGCTGGATGACTCCACCATGGTGTCCTGTACAGATCTTTGTGTTCTTTTAGAAGCTCTGACTCCTGCATCCCCCATCCTCATCCTCCTCTTTTATCTCTTCTTTAACCTCAACTTTAGGATCTCTCAGGTTTCCACTCTGAATATATAATAAAAATGACTTCAATGGTAACAATGCAGATAATGTACAGATCCTAATGATACTATCAGTGATTGTTCCTCATCTACCTGATGATGGTGAGGGATGGTGTGACCTTCCTGTGTGGAATCCCGGGAATACAGAGGACGGGGACATCTCTCTGGTGGGTTCCCATGACTGGATCCATCTTCCTGAGGATGGTGAGGGATGGTGTGACCTTCCTGTGTGGAATCCCGGGAATACAGAGGACGGGGACATCTCTCTGGTGGGTTCCCATGACTGGATCCATCTTCCTGAGGATGGTGAGGGATGGTGTGACCTTCCTGTGGGAAATCCCGGGAATACAGAGAACGGGGACATCTCTCTCTGGTGGGTTCCCATGACTGGATCCACCTACCTGATGGGGAGTGATGGTGTGACCTTCCTGTGTGGAATCCTGGGAATACAGAGGACGGGGGGACATCTCTCTGGTGGGTTCCCATGACTGGATCCACCTACCTGATGATGGTGAGGGATGGTGGTGACCTTCCTGTGTGGAATCCCGGGAATACAGAGGACGGGGACATCTCTCTGGTGGGTTCCCATGACTGGATCCATCTGTAGGAAACACACACACTGACTGAATCCATTGTTTCTATGTGTTTATCAGATGATGGGGGATCTAGGTGGATCCTCCGTACTGCTCTCTCCTTTACAATAAAGTCTCCTCTTACCCGGTGATGTGAGGGGCGGCTGATTGTCCATCATGACGTCCTTGTAGAGGTCCTTGTGTCCTCTCTGGTGGTCCTCCATCATGACGTCCTTGTAGAGGTCCTTGTGTCCTCTCTGGTGGTCCTCCATCATGACGTCCTTGTAGAGGTCCTTGTGTCCTCTCTGGTGGTCCTCCATCATGACGTCCTTGTAGAGGTCCTTGTGTCCTCTCTGGTGGTCCTCCATCATGACGTCCTTATAGAGGTCCTTGTGTCCTCTCTGGTGGTCCTCCATCATGACGTCCTTCTAAATATTGATGTGTATCATCTGCCTGGAGATAAAAGACGTCACAGAGACTATGGAGGAAGAGACGGACATGAGGACAATCCTTCATATCAGAGAGAGAGACACCCCAGGAGGAAAAGGAAGGACATGACGGGGGGTTACTGGGTGTAAATAGAACATAACATCTTATTACCTCCTCTGCTGCTACTTCCTGCAATGTCTCCGATCTCCTTCACACCGAATGGCACAGCCTGTCTTTCCTTCCACATCATCACTTCCTGTCTGTTCCTGACACCACTTCCTGTCTGTTCCTGACATCACTTCCTGTCTGTTCCTGACATCATTCCTGTCTGTATTCCATAGAGAAGTCCTGTCTGGTTAGTAGAAATGAGATCACCATCTTGTGGAGTTCAGAGGAACTGCAGCCCCGAGAAATGTCCCCTAATACCCATTCCTGCATTGTATTACCTTACAGAGATATCAGGGAGGAGCCAAAATAACTAATAAAAAGTAAGAAACAATAAACCAACTCTTATGTAACCAACTGTTTAACAAATATATTTTACTGCAGATAGAAAAGTCTTAAAGACACAGAACACAAGATATCAAACAGGTATACAGAATAAAACAGAGACCCCCAAAATCAGACAGACTACCCAGAATGTCCCGTCCTTCATATCAGAGAGAGAGACAGACTACCCAGAATGTCCCGTCCTTCATATCAGAGAGAGAGACAGACTACCCAGAATGTCCCGTCCTTCATATCAGAGAGAGACAGACTACTACCCAGAATGTCCCGTCCTTCATATCAGAGAGAGACAGACAGACCCAGAATGTCCCGTCCTTCATATCAGAGAGAGACAGACTACCCAGAATGTCCCGTCCTTCATATCAGAGAGAGAGACTACTACCCAGAATGTCCCGTCCTTCATATCAGAGAGAGAGACAGACTACCCCCAGAATGTCCCGTCCTTCATATCAGAGAGAGACAGACTACCCAGAATGTCCCGTCCTTCATATCAGAGAGAGAGAGACAGACTACCCAGAATGTCCCGTCCTTCATATCAGAGAGAGACAGACTACCCAGAATGTCCCGTCCCATATCAGAATGTCCCGTCCTTCATATCAGAGAGAGACAGACTACCCAGAATGTCCCGTCCTTCATATCAGAGAGACAGACTAGAGAGACAGATCAGAGAGAGACCCCCAGAATGTCCCGTCCTTCATATCAGAGAGAGAGACAGACTACCCAGAATGTCCCGTCCTTCATATCAGAGAGAGAGACAGACTACCCAGAATGTCCCGTCCTTCATATCAGAGAGAGACAGACTACCCAGAATGTCCCATCCTTCATATCAGAGAGAGACAGACTACCCAGAATGTCCCATCCCGTCTTCATATCAGAGAGAGAGACAGACTACCCCAGAATGTCCCGTCCTTCATATCAGAGAGAGACAGACTACCCAGAATGTCCCGTCCTTCATATCAGAGAGAGAGACAGACTACCCAGAATGTCCCGTCCTTCATATCCTTCAGAGACAGACTACCCAGAATGTCCCGTCCTTCATATCAGAGAGAGACAGACTACCCAGAATGTCCCGTCCTTCATATCAGAGAGAGACAGACTACCCAGAATGTCCCGTCCTTCATATCAGAGACCCCAGACAGACTACCCAGAATGTCCCATCCTTCCTTCATCAGAGAGAGACAGACTATCCAGAATGTCCCGTCCTTCATATCAGAGAGAGACAGACAGACTACCCAGAATGTCCCGTCCTTCATATCAGAGAGAGAGACAGACTACCCAGAATGTCCCGTCCTTCATATCAGAGAGAGACAGACGACCATCATCCTTCATATGTCAGCCAGTTCTTCAGGTAGGAAAGAACCCTAAGGGTACCTAAGGGCTTGACTAGAAGAGGAAAAAGTGCCCAGACACCTCCACAGGGGTAAGCAGAGAGAGAAGAAATATGGGGCAAACCATATGGGGCACAAAACACAGCAGGTCATAAGGATGCACACAGGGACCCATATACCTAAACACCCACCGCTGCCCCAAAACTGCCTACATCTAATCACGGAGCATGGTCCAACAAAGCATCCTCAGCTGAGGAGAGGGGAAGGGGGGAAGGGATCCTAGATTGTCTACCTGATTAGGATCAGGAGCAAGGGAAGGAGTCTGGAGGAACTGCACATCTGTCATCAAATGAGAACTTACCCTCCAGTGACCAGGTCCCACAAAGGTCTCCAGGCAGACTCCCTACCTGCTGGGGGAACTAGCAGCAGGACCCCAGAATGATCTTCTTGCTGACAATGTGGAGAGCACAGGGACATCCAGCAATTAAATCTTCCTGCCAGGTGATCAATCAACAGCTTTCAGGTACTGAATCAGAAGAGGACCAGACGGCAAATTCTTATCTCCGAGGAGGACAGCATAGTGAAACGTAACACTCTCAGTGTAGTACAGCATAGGGACTAGGCCACTAGACCTGCCACAGGGAAAACTCCCAGACCTTTCCATAGGGGAAGACTCTTCAACACGTGAGGGATTTCCAGTGGAGCTCATGTCAGAGTACCAAGTCATGGAGGGGATGCTTGATGAGACGGGAACTGTTCTCAGGAAACAGATTGGAGCCCCAGACATGGGGACACCCCTGCAAGTGAAGACTTTCATGGTGAAGGGAAAAAACTGCCCCTTTCAGACAAAAAGGCAGACACGTCATATCTGGAAGTACTTGGTCTACAGAGACCATTTGGATGTTTCGCCCCAAGTTCAGGCTCCCAGGAATGAGGGATTGATAAGGACTGACTTACAACTGAAAAAGGGAGTCTAAATTATGAGAGTAATCCCTTGGCACCCTACACACCCTGAAAGATGAGGGAGGGAGAATGATTCTGACTTATAAGGGGAGGAATTAAATCCCTAAAGCACAGGTGTCAAACTGGTGACCCTCCAGCTGTTGCCAAACTACAAGTCCCATGAGGCATTGCAAGATTGACAGTCACAAGCATGACTCCCAAAGGCAGAGGCATGATGGGACTTGTAGTTTTGCAACAGCTGGAGGGCCGCCAGTTTGACACCCCTGCCCTAAAGGAAATGAGCAACCTTGCCCAACAGTGACCTTTAAAAAACCCAAGGCCTGGAACACGAGGCTGATTCTCCAGATGACGGGTAGTACATCTATAAGGTTTGAAACAACCCCGGTAAATCTGTGTCCACTTCAGGAGACTGCAATGACCCCAACCAGAGGTAGACTGTTGGAATTCTCAGAGACAGTGACAAGGTCAACATGGCCAGCATGAATAGAAGTTTTAGGCCAATCACAGACATAATCTGCAGGGGACCATTTAGAGCCTTTGAGGGCAGAGTGCATCGATATCTGAGCAAAAACAGCCAGAAAGTCCAAAGTGGAGACTGAGGTCCCTGCGGACATGGGGGATACCTTGGCCACACACGAGAGAGCTTTGGTAGACTGCAATAAAGATGATCCAGTGACAATAGGGGTCCAAGGTTCTGAATTACAGGTGTCAATTCCTTCTGGGCAGGACGCACTCTAGGACTATAAGCTGAGTTCATCCTTGGCAGTGGGACAGTCCTGGCTGTCTTAGTGAAGACATGTGTTTTTGTACAGCAGTAATTCAACTAGGCCCAACGTGAGGCAATGTTTTAAGTCTCATAAACCCAGGCATCTGGGGCTGAGAGTTTCAGGTGGCCGGGGGTGACCAAGTAAGTGTAAGTGTAGGAAGGGAGATCCACGTGATGATCCAGCAGTTGATTCCTTGGCCTTAACTCTTACTCTGTTAAAAAGTGGTGGGAAATTTAAAATGGTGGCCATCAATGCTTCATCACAACTGGCTCTGCTTACTAAGTGAGTCTTCAAAGACAGGGTCACACCTGTGACCACAGGACAGCTCTGGACCCGAAAGCACTCCTCAGCTAACTAACACAGTACACCCTGTCCTGGAGAGCACCACAATGAAAAGCCCAGTGCCCAAAGGTTACATTCCAGGCAAGTCTTACATGTACAGTCCAGGAGGGTCTGGCTTCAAAATCAGTGATCAGGATAGCTGATCGATATCATCTGAGTTCACCAAAGAACCTTAATAGATTGATGTCACCAAGGAACCTTGATTGATTGATGATGTCAACAAGGAACCTTGATTGATTGATGTCACCAAGGAACCTTAATAGATTGATGTCACCAAGGAACCTTGATTGATTGAAGTCACCAAGGAACCTTGATTGATTGATGTCACCAAGGAACCTTGATTGATTGATGTTACCAAGGAACCTTGATTGATTGATGTTACCAAGGAACCTTGATTGATTGAAGTCAACAAGGAACCTTGATTGATTGATGTCACCAAGGAACCTTGATTGATTGATGTCACCAAGGAACCTTGATTGATTGATGTCACCAAGGAACCTTGATAGACTGATGATCACCAAGGAACCTTGATTGATTGATGTCACCAAGGAACCTTGATTGATTGATGATCACCAAGGAACCTTAATAGATTGATGTCACCAAGGAACCTTGATTGATTGATGTCACCAAGGAACCTTGATTGATTGATGTCACCAAGGAACCTTGATTGATTGATGTTACCAAGGAACCTTGATTGATTGATGTCACCAAGGAACCTTGATTGATTGATGTCACCAAGGAACCTTGATTGATTGATGTCACCAAGGAACCTTGATTGATTGAAGTCACCAAGGAACCTTGATTGATTGATGTCACCAAGGAACCTTGATTGATTGATGTCACCAAGGAACCTTGATT